CGCCTCTCGAGGCAAGCGTTCCGTCGAAATGCGAGCCCAAAAACAGGTGGTAAGCGGTCAATCTGTGAAAAGTAACGCAATCTCCGTCGTTTGAGAGCAGCCGAAGATGCTCTTGCCGATGCTGTCCTTGATGTTTTTTATTTCCAGTATCTAGGAAACTCATGCTAAGGTATGAAACATACACTCGTAGACATTGTTCTGTCCTCTAAAGTTTAATTCCTGGACGCAGAAACGTTGTGCTTTTTGAAGTTTATTATTGTGCTTTGCCCTTTGACAACCTTACGTAACTCGTGCGTTTGGTAGCAGAAGATGGCTAAACTCTGCTTTTCTTTCTTGTTGGAAAACGGCTTTAAATTTTATCAGATCGCTCGATAAACACGTGTTGGTTTCTGATAGCTGATAACGTTAAATCACTGTTGCTCAAACTGATTTCTTATTGCATTTTTCTGAGTTTTTAGCATCGACCCGCTGAGTCTGGAGAGCTCAAATTTCAGAAAAGTACTACTTGTATTTTTTGGCCTCAAACATTTTCTTTTAAGTTGCCCGTAGTTTTGAAAACATATTTTGAAAGAAGAGATAACGCTCTTTAACGTGGTATAAGACTCGTTACTGAAATCGAGGTACCAGTCGACGATTTTGGGCTTTGAAATTTGCCATTTTTTCATTGAACGAAAACGTTCAAAATATTGAAAATAATGAAAAATCTCCAAAATATTACACTTTCGTTCAAATTGAGTAAATCACCTCTTAGAATGTGTGAAATTATGTACTCTTCTGAATAAGTTATTTGTTGTCCGCATTACCATGGATTTGAATTTTAAAACGATTTTTTTGCGACACATGGTCTCGGGCCTGGAAAACCCGGTCCGAGAGCCGCAAAACCAATAACCCCCCCGTACGTGGAAAATAATTATCGGATCGAAGTAAAAATTACATTTACGTCAATAGCTTACCTAGTGCTACTTTGTGAATTTTTTTGAGAATTTTCGATTTTTCACTTTTGTAGACCTCTGGTCGATATTTACTGACATCCGCTCTTAACAAGCAAAGTTGGGAGAGTCCACAGCTACTGGCAAAAATGTTTTACATGCTGAGATACGCACAAATGATATGAACAAAGGCTTTTACACCATAACAGTTTTTTGTGTATCAATTGTATTTCATTTAAAAGGTGCTGTTAGCTTAGCGAAAGAACAAGATTTGAGACACAACATTGAGAGATATCAAAGTTATCTGCGTGGCTCGTTACGAAAACATTGTGACAGAACTGTGTAAATATAACGATAACACACAAATCATGAGTCACTTACACCCACATAAATACAACAATCACTTTTTTGGCCTAAGTACATTTTAACATAGATGAATATCCACATCGTCTCCATGTATTGTTCTCCCTTTGCTTGATATCGCACTAACTAAGAGAAAAGTCTTTTCGCTGGTAAACAGTGTCCCCTATTTTCACCCTTTTATGATTGATAGAAGATCGGTTATAAAGTTTAAGGAGAAAGAAGATCGATACTGGTCACTGTTAGGATCCTTACAGATCTTCCAAAGCAGTTGAGCCTGCCTTGTCATGCTTTTAAGGAAA